ACAGGGGATTCATGCGACGACACAAATCACACTGTTGAGCCGGTTCCGTCACACCACTTACATAATCAGCGAATTTCTATCGAACACGCACCAACGAATTTTCTCATTTCATTATACGAATTATAGATTCATGATTCGTATCGGCTAACAGTACGGTTCGCCCGTTACGGGAAATTAGATACAATCGTTCAATCCTACTGACAAATCGTTTCGTCGAAAGGAATATTCACTGTATCATAGCCAAGAGAGAAGAGATAAAAAGAAATGGATGAACGAGTAGTCTTCGTGTTATGGTTGACAGTCGTTTTGAAACCAGCATTAATCCAATGTCTCATACTGGATGACCGATGTTTCTCGCTGATCGATTTGATAAGATTGAAGAAATACACGTTGTAAATTATTCAGTATAGACTTTTAAATTTTAATTGTACCAAGAAGAATTTCCATATTAATTTATAATTTACAATTCACAAAGAGAACTTCTTAACCCTTTTACCTTACAATTCTTCAATCACTATGCACAACACTTGCATTTCCTGAAACTTAAATTGAAGCTGAAGTTCCATCTAAATCACAATTTAATCAAAAACACAATTCTTCATCTCGCATCTCAACCACAATCTACCCCAAAAATTGCATTAATCATTACAAAAACGAAAGATCAACGAAACTTTGCTACCACAAAGTTCCTCAGACATTTCTAACTATTATAAATTAAAGCTGACAAAATTTTCCTCGATAACGACGCACTCCGCAACATCCGTTCCTCCGCCCAAAGAGCAAAGAAAACGAAAGGATCTACAGAGATGATTAGCAAAAGAAAGAAGCTTCCGAGGTAGCAGTGAAGTTAAAATCGAACCACAATAGACCGAACACACGCTCGAATCGTTCAATCTACCGGGAAAATTTGCATATCCTCAGCTCCGATTCCACGGTTGAAAGGTCCGCCCACCCTTGTTCCACGAGGTAGCCTCGAGGTTGTCGGACAGCCGGCAAGAGGAAGAGGAGAGCTCGATGAGTCCCATGGCTGGTATCGAACCTGCTGGGGGCAAAGAACAGAGCTGTTCCAACGAGAGGGGAGGACGAGCCCGTTATAAGCACGAGCAGCGGCTATTCAGCAGCTTAGCAACTTAGTGCCGGTCCCAGGATCCCTACCGGTAACACAAGGGGACCTGAACAACACTCACGGTGCACCTCCACCTCGTTGCGCGTTTTTCTCTCGCTGGTGGTTCGCTGTTCTCTCGAGAAGAGAAGATAGGGGGATGAACCGACGACACGGAGCGTCGTCGACGCTGCTCCTCATCGTCTGCGCGCAGATCTTCGCCGTCTATGGTTCCACGATCGACGCGAGCCAACAGGGTAAATCGATCACCTTCGAGGCGTCGTCGTTGAACGATCAGGTGGACGACGATGACAACGCGGTGATCGTTGAAGGTGAGTAACAATGGACGTTCGTTTTTTTTTTTTTTTTGAGAATGTTCGGTTGGATTGTGGGGAAAGTTAGGGTAGACTTTTCTGACAGATCAATCTTTCGTAATTTAATAGTTTCTTCTTGGAGTTGTAGTGTTTCGAAGGTAGAGAAGTATCTTTCCACGTTTAAAATAGGAGAATTGAGAGTGAAAGAACTGTTCGTAAATTGTTTGCAAAATTCAGAAACAGAAACTTCGATCTTAAAAAAAAAAACAAAATTTTGGGAATATGGAATTTTTAAATTTCCGCAAAGATGGCGAAAGATTGTAACACAAGAAAATTACGTATTTACTTAAAAATCGTCAGGAACTTTTCTAACAACTCAATTTTTACGTTTAGAACGATATTTAAATTCACGAATGAATTTTCAAAAAGACATTAGGTTTCCAGTGACAGGATTTTCAATTTTGGTGTGCTGTAAAAAAAAGAAAGATCGCTCATCGCTGTTCTCTAGTCAGTTGAATCGGTGAATAAATAAGACTTCAAGACGTTAATTAATCTTGGACGATCGACGAACTCGTCTTCAGCGTTGATCGATGAACGTGAAAAGTTAATTAGTTCTATAGTTAATGGTAGCAATTACCATCGATTAACCTCTCGGTGTATTGTTACGCGACTGGTTGACAGTCGTGTATCAATCACTTGGCAAACGATCTCGGGAAGAGATAGAACACTGTACCGAGTTCGTCGCACGAAATCGCATTTGAATTAGCAAGGATCGCGGTTATAATACGTGCGCGTATAATCGAACTGAAGTTGCGACATACGAATGCTCCATACACGGTGAACGGAAGTCTTCCCAAGCGCGCGTACCAGCCTCGTCTGTGTGCACCTGTGTGCCCGGTGGGTCAGCGAACTCATCGTCAAGAATCTGGATGGAATTCCATTGTGATACGTCTCTGCGTTAATCTATGGGGACACGATCCATTAACGTGTGGAAAATTGGATTAATTTTTTGATTCTTTTGTAAATACTTAGAGTTGCGTCGAGGAGAACGTGATAGGAGTGAGAATGCCTTTGGAAGAATTCTCAGTTTGCAATGTCAGGTGTACGTGTCCTTCGGAAAAAAGAGATTTCAGGTCCATAGCTTTGAAATTCTGAGGATATTCTGATACGTGATTTTTAGGTCTTCAGCGTCGAAATTTTAATCCGCGATCTTCAGGTCCCTAGAGTCGAAATTCGAATGAAATTCTAATCCACGATTTTCAGGTCCCTCGAGTCGAAGTTCGAATGAAATTCTAATCCGCGATCTTCAGGTCTCTAGTGCTAAAATTCTAACCCGCGATCTTCAGGTCCCTAGCGCCAAAATTCTACCGAAATTTCTAATCCGCGATCTTCCGCGTCACTAACCAACTGTTTCAACCACCGCAGTTAACTCCTCCTTCTATTTTTCCACGACTTTTCTATTCTTCTAATATTCCAACAAATAAATACACAAGTGCGACATATCGGTACAGTTAGGAATACATTACAACATCGTGCATATTCAACTGAAAACGTTCGAAGTCACGAGTTTTTGCTGCATCTTCGTAAAAAAGTGGAAAGCTTCCCCTAAAGTGTCGATGGTTTCTCTTACGAGCATGTCACGCAGGTACGCAGCATTCATTACAACGGTAGACGATGTGTCATTCTTTGTCAGACATCGTTCGTCCACACATGTATACACGGTTACGTGCTGTACACTCTTCGAGCACGGTAACTTAATTCCCCCGGATAAACATGGCGACACGTTTGTAATCTACTCACGAACCGTTTGAAAAAAGAGTCGACAGCAAGATTACCATTAGAAAAGAAATTCCTAGCGAAACGTATAATTAATTCGTTATTTAAAAATACAGGATCAACTGAACGGTGTGTGCGTGTTGTTTTGTCGTTCTAGCCGCCATTGATACGGGAGCTCGACTCGGCGAGGCGAGAGACGGCCGCAGTATCCTGTGGAACGGAATCTCTAATAGCGAGACTTGTCTGACGTCGAAAGGCGAGGTTGGCCGTTGCACCAGCTTCAAGGAGTGCTATCCATATTTCAAAATTCCTGATCTGAGCGCTCTAGATGGCTGGGTTCTCGGTGTTTACGACACCTGTAGCTATATGCAAGAGAACGGCCAGACGAGTTTCGGAATCTGTTGCTCCAATATATTTCCGGTCGTAACGCCGCCGTCAGAAATCACTCAGGACCCCCTTGTAGACGATATTCCTCAGGTAAAGACTTTCAATTGATAACCGATATCGATAAACTATTATGTTACAATGTAGCAAGTGTCCGGTGACTTATAGACGATAATGTATGTAACTATATAAAAATTGAACAAAGATTTACATAGATAAATCCATAAATTTACGAGGATAAGTTAATAATTATCTCCAGAATGAGTTTACAAAATTTATATATCGTCGAGCTGATACATTTAACACGCTCTCCTCGATTTCTCAGCTCGGATCATAGAACCCATAGTTAGTTATCGGGAACTCGTAAAACTAATACGTGATACGAATCGAAAATCGTTAGAGATACAGCTTAGAAAGTCGCGGACTCGGTTCTCTCTATTGGGTGAACGCGCGGTTTCGCAAACAGAACTTTACAACTTCGCTTTAACTGCCCGTGTCCAATTCCTTCCTCGCCGTGAAATCTTCGCACGAGGAACTCTCTGTGTTCCGTTACTTCATCGAGAAAATGTTCAATTGTTCCATGCTTGATCAGGGAGGGAACGATGACAAGAAGGAGGGTGGAATCACCGTGAAACCAATGGCGCAATTCCCAGGTTCCTGGCCACCACCGATTCCAACTCATCCACCTGACCACACGGTACCACCGTTGCCTACCCATCCGCCGTATCTTGAACTGCCGGGGATCTCCACGATAAAACCAGTTTTCACATCGAAAAAACCCGGCATCGCGACGACCTGGCCGACGAAGAAACCTGCCTGGTGGCCAGGTGCGCCAACCGTATTACCGACGACCAGCGAAAGGCCGCCCATGGATACGATTTCTGGCATAAATACACATCAGTGCGGCGCGAAGAACGGTAATCAGGACCAGGAGCGGATAGTGGGCGGTCAGAATGCTGACCCTGGCGAATGGCCTTGGATCGCGGCTCTCTTCAACGCCGGACGACAATTCTGCGGTGGTTCCCTCATCGACGATAGACACATTCTCACGGCGGCTCATTGCGTTGCCAAGTAAGTCCTCTGAAACGACGCGCAGCATGATAAAATCATGTATAGTACTGTTGCTAGGATAAATGATTGGTATTTCTACACGGTTCTTTCTCTTTTTAACATATTCACTCAGGTGGATTCACTCAGAGATACCTGATACTCGATACCCTCTATCTGTGAATCCGGGGGAGTACCCTGAAAGACAGAGATTGACGAAAACGTGACTGTGATTGGTTAGAGCATGTCTGAAAGTTACTCCAAAGGAAATACCACGTTTCTTCTAAACTATTTCGACGGACAATGCCTTGTATCTGTTTCAATTTTCTACAGCATGAACTCCTGGGACGTGGCGAGGTTAACGGTCCGTCTGGGCGACTACAACATCAAGACCAACACGGAGATACGACACATCGAACGACGAGTGAAACGAGTGGTCAGACACAGAGGCTTCAATGCTCGAACACTTTACAACGACATCGCGTTGCTCACCCTTAACGAGCCTGTCCCGTTTACCGAGCAAATAAGACCCATCTGTTTGCCGAGCGGCTCGCAGCTGTACAACGGAAAAATTGCTACGGTCATCGGTTGGGGTTCCTTGAGAGAAAGTAAGAAAATCTTCGAGCTTCGATTTTAATTCCACGAATGTTCAGCGAGATGAAGTAGTCGATACGATGATTCGAACTTCTAGGTGGGCCACAACCAGCTATCCTTCAAGAGGTTTCGATACCAATCTGGCCAAACGGTGAGTGCAGGTTGAAATACGGTGCAGCAGCACCTGGTGGAATCGTGGACAGTTTCTTGTGCGCTGGACGAGCTGCAAAAGACTCCTGTTCGGTTTGTATTGCGATATTATTTTTGATAATAGAGTTCAGTTGCTTGAAGCTTTCGTGATATAACGTCTTCCATTTTATGGTGTTTTCAGGGTGACAGCGGTGGTCCTTTAATGGTGAACGATGGCCGCTGGACGCAAGTAGGTATCGTCAGCTGGGGTATTGGTTGTGGCAAAGGCCAGTATCCTGGTGTTTACACGAGAGTAACGCATTTCCTGCCCTGGATCTACAAGAACCTGAAGTGAAATACGCAGTAGGAGATGTGTTGCTCATTCTGCTCGTTAAAGTATTTCGTTTCTGGTCTAGTTGCGACCCTCGTATCATCGAACACGCATCCAGCTACACGCCGTTATGTAGAATAACGAGACTCGTCGACTACTGAAGATTTTTATAGCGATAAAGAAAACAGATGGCTTTCATTCCTATAATTCATTCCCATGCAAAATTTTTTCATCTCACGAACCCCGTTGTTGTTTAACGATTCAGCGATATCGTTCGCTACATCTAAAGAGATAAGTGATCACACATGATTGTAAGTTGTAACAAAATATTTTATAGTACTATACATATACAACTATATATAAAAAATAGTTTTACAATATAACAATTCCTGCGTCCTGTTGTTCTTGTCACGAAACAGGCCGCATATTGATACCTATCCCCCCATCGACATAATATTCCACAGATTATGTATCGCAATTGCTCACGTTCAAATGTTGCATTATGTTCCGTGCTAAAACAAAATAAAGTGAAAGAAAGTTTATCGATGAAACATTAAGCAACTAGTATCGATCGTACCAATTTTTTTTTTACAACTGTTGAAAATTACCTTGAAAATAGCATGTATCGTAATTATCATCCGGTTGTGGGATAAAAGGCGGCGTCGCTTTTAACGGCTCGTCCCAAGGGAAATCTTCGAACAGTTTCATAGTACGCACTTCCATGGCAGAAGGACGCTCGTGTTGATCCAATGTGAGAAGTGCGTCTATGGCTCCTGTGGCTAATGTTGAAAGAGCCTCTTCGTTCTCTGGCCAAGGGATGTCTTTGGCGAGGATGTTGGAGAACACAGCCTGAGGTGTTTCGTCGTTGAACGGCGGAACACCTGTACAAAATTCGAACAAACAAACACCTAAAGCCCACCAATCTACCGCAGGTCCGTGACCTTGCTTTAAAAGTAACTCAGGAGCAAGATAATCGGGTGTTCCAAGTATACGATCATCTGACCGATTCACACCACCTTGACCGCCTCTTCTTACTGATTTCGGTGTTCGATAAGGTGTGTAAGAATTGCCTGAGGTTGCAGGCGTTTTTATGGGTGATATTCCTTGAGGTGATCGATGCTTCTCCAAACTATCTGCCACAAGTATCGCAGATGCTGAATGCGACGTAAGAACCGGTGGAAGCTGAAATCTCGTTGCCTTGATCAAAGGTGCTGTTTCTTCTTCACATTTCTCCTCCTCCTCCTCCTCCTCTTCGTTATGGCATCTTTGCTTAATAGACGAGACTGGTGTACTGAATGCAACTCTTCCACCAGATCCATTCTCTTGTCCTTGGGCTGTATCGCTGATATTAGTCGTTCGAGTTATGGATTCAGGTATAGTGGTATTTATTGGACTTCTTTGAAATATGCATCCGCGATTCTTTCTCTTTGGTGTTTTGTCCACATCCAAATCCATCGCGTTTAATTCGCACGTTAGACCAGTTGTTGCTCCCGTTGCTGCTCTCTTTCTTTTCGCGCCTCTTGTGAACGTGTTCGTGCACGTGCTTAATGGACTAGTGTGAAAAAGGGGTTGCTGAGACTGTTCAGCTTCCAGCGTAGACTCGTCCTCTTCTTCTACATTGTGATTCAATTGACTATCCACGCGAACCGAAGACGCCTCGCACGTGTGGTAACTCCCAGAGCTACTTTCTTCTTCCTCTTCGATGTTCTCGATGATAACATTGTCCTCCATACGTTCTCCTAAGTGGAGATCCTCTGCAGATTGGAAAGGTGTAACACCCGATACTCGGGAGTAATCCCCAGATGCGGCAGTGGAGGAAATTACCGAGTTGGGTGACGACTGAAATTTCGTGCAGTTTCGCTGCAAAGCCGAGAGTAAATTAACACCAGGTGTACTTCTGTCGCTAAGATTAGATTCGCTCGGTGATCTCTGTCCGGAACCGAAGGATAAATGCGACGTCAACGATAAAAGTTGTCCGGGAGTTCTAGCGCAAAGACTGGGCGTACAATTAACTAAATCCGATATTTCGAGATCTCTGTGCAAAGATATTTTACTAAGCCCGAAATCTGTGAGCTTAACATGTCCCTCTCTCGACAGAAGCATATTATCCGGTTTCAAATCCCTATGTACAATCCCATGGGAGTGGAGATACTCCAATGCCAGACACACTTCTGCAGTGTAAAAAGCTGCCATGGATTCTTCCATATAACCATACACACCAACCAAGCTTTTAAGATCTCCACCTACCATGTACTCCATTACTAAATAGACACTACTAACAGATTGCAATGAATAAAATAATTGAACACAATAAGCACTACGCGTTATAGCTAAAGCATTCCTCTCAATGATCACTTGTGAAGCCATATTCTTATTTATCATCTCATTTTTCTTCATTACTTTGATAGCATATACTTTCTCAGGATTTGTCTTTTTGTACCCAAGAAAAACTTTGCCAAATGCACCACGGCTTATAGGTTTCACAATTTTAAAGTCCTGAATTTCTGGTACCTAAACATTAAATATAATCTTATACATACAAGCAAATATGAAACTTTTAGACTTAACAATTCAATAATAAATTATATTTACCTTTGCTGTGGGATTAACAATTTTAGATATGGTGTTAAAGATGGAATTATCGATTTGTCTGTTTGCCGATGTCTGCTCCGGTGTACACTCCCCTTCGCGAATTTCGCGTTCATTGTCTGAGTTATTGCAGTTTGCACAAGTATTTTCATCGTCCGTCTCATTTGTTGGGTCATTACTATTTAGACATAAATTTGGCGAATCAATCGCCGCTTCTTCCATTTAAAAAAGTAACCTAACTAGTACTAAGTCACGAACTTTCGTAACGGAACATAAAATATCGAAATCCCGATTCATAAAATAGTTCCGTGACTCAAAAAAGATGAAGTTTTAGTCATCGTTCCTTCATATTTTATATTTTTCTCTTATGTACACAAATACACTATAACGGTTATTTGACATGTTTGAAAATGAACATGCATACAACCATATGACCAGAAAGTGTGTTGCATACTTCAAGTAACTTGAAGTAATCAGAATCGCCAACGACAATCTTTTTTTACTAATTATCATTAAACAATTTAGTTCAATTATATTTTACAACTAATCAAAATTTAATCGTGATGGGAGAACATGATGGTTTTAAGTTTATCATGTGCATTATAATAAATCATTTTATTGTAATACATTCTTGTGTATAGGAACATCTATGATTTTAAAAAGGTTGCACTGAAGTGTTACAGTTCCCGCCTTTAACGTTTTTTGTATTTGCAATAGTTCTGCCAGTTGTGTACGATGAACCGTTGATCACTGGATAGAATCTCAAGTATTTATTTCAAAATAAACTTATCACAACGGTGAAATTTTCTTTTACAGTACTTAAAATTATCTTTAGTCTATCGTTGTTTCCCTGCACCTGCTACGTAATTCTATATATATATCGTAACAATACATTTTTGGTAACCTCAGAATGGCTGGGAAAATAGTAAAAAGAACACCTAGAAAAAAGGCTGCGAATGCATATAAATTGCCAGATCCGATAGCTGCCGGCGAAATATTAATAGATATGGCAAAAAAGCAATGGATCCTTGGCACATCAATCGGTATGGGAGGTTTTGGAGAAATTTATTCTGGTCTGTACCTACTCACACATTGTTACACTTTGCTTCTATGTATACAATTTTATATATTTTAACAATAAGTTCCGTTATCTTTATATTACATTTTATATTGTATAGCATATCTTGCAATACAGTAATATAACATAGGGAGTAATCATATAATTCTAATGAAAATTACAGCTGCTGCTTACAATGGTAAAGTTCCAAAAGACTATCCCCATGTAATTAAAATTGTGAGTGTCTATCATTTACATTCAATTATTTACTGAATATGACATTTTTCAAAAACTGTAATATTTTAGGAACCACATGGAAATGGACCATTGTTTGTAGAAATGCACTTCTATATGAGAAATGCTAAATCAGATGAAAGTGAGTCATATAAATTTTAATACTTAAATATAGTTCATTTTTATATGCAAACTTACCTCTTTTTATTTTATTTTATACTTTATATTCATGTTGTACTCTCGTATATATTAATATATAATTGGTAGTTATGTAATCATAATATTCAAAAAAAAAGAAATACTGTATGACTTATTTTAGTTGATAGCTGGAGAAAAAAAAAGAAACTTACAACACTTGGTATGCCTCAATATATTGGCTCTGGAAGTCATGAATATAAGAAAATAAAATACAGATTCGTTGTAATGGATCGGTATGGTACAGATTTATGGAAACTATTTTGACAATTATTTTTTTAAAAAATTACCAAATTTCACATCATATTTAAAATTTTTAGATAAATGTGCTAGAATATATCCATCATAAAACATATGTACATGCAGATATAAAAGGAGCAAATTTATTATTAGATTTAAAATCTCAAAATCAAGTTTATTTAGTAGATTTTGGATTGGCTTCTCATTACACTACAAAAGCTGAATATAAATTAGACCCAAAGAAAGCACATAATGGAACTATTGAATATACTAGTAGAGATGCTCACATGGGAGGTAAAAATTATAATTACTCAGTGAAATTTGATATGTTAGATGATATAATTGGATATTATGTAAATCTTTACATTTTAGTACCAACAATGCGCGGAGATTTTGAAATTTTGGGTTATAACATGATCCAGTGGTTATGTAGTTCACTTTTATGGGAAAATAATTTATCAGATCCAGTAATAGTGCAAAAGCAAAAAGAAAAAGCTTTTGATAACATTTCAGAATTTTTAAATAAATGTTTCCATGGGTCAGTTCCAGATACTATACTTAAGTACATGACCTTACTAGCAAGTATGAAATTCAATGAAACACCAGATTATGAAAAATTTCAAAAAATATTAACAGAGGGATTAAAACATTTGTCACATAAACCAGACGGAAAGTTAGAATTTAAAAGTGATATTAATTCTCATAAAGAACCAGTTTCGAAGTCTCCACCAAAAGTTAAGAGAACTATTAATAAAAATAAAAAATATCCACGTGCAGCAGCAATAAAAAGTCCTTTAAAGAGTTTTGATGAAAGTACTGTAGGAATTATAATGGATAAAAAACGCGCTGGTGCGAAAGATATTAAACAAATATTGGACGATATCGAATCTGACGAAGAATATGATATAAAAATAGTTAAAAAAGCAAAAAAGGCTGTCAATTCTGTAAATAAACTTAAAAATGTAAAAAGTCCCGCA